CAAAATGTGCCAATTTCGCTGGCTCTCTGATCAATGGGCTGGACATACTGAGTATTAAGACCTCCTGCAGTGGATGCACTTAGCCTCGATGTGCTCTGTCCAGTCTTCTTGCTCACGTGAATCCTGGCTACCTTTTCCAGGCCAGACTGCCATGTTGTGATGCCTGCCCCCTTGTTTTAGTTGTCCAGTGCTGCAGAACAAATTTCCTCAAGTTCAGTGGCCACAACATCAGGCACAGAGGCCCACCTCAGCTGCAGGGCACGCCTCCTTTCCTACTTTACTTGGCCCAAACTTGCCGGCCAGAGCCTGTTTCTTTCCCACCTTTGAAACAAAACAGACATTTATGATCTTACACAGTTCTTTAGGATCAGAAATCCGCAAGGAGCACAGCTGGGTCCTTTTCACTCAGACTCTCCAGTGTGGCTGCAGTCACACTGTCATCTGGGGCTCCAGCCACCCAACTGCTTCAATTGGGCCGGAGCATTCACTTCCAAGTCACAGAGCTGCCGGCAGAAGGCCTCCATTCTTTACCATATGGGCCTCTCCACAGGGCTGCTTGTGACAGGGCAGAGCGCTTCCCTCAGAAAGAGGGAGAGCCCACTACCTTTACAACATGCTCGTTAGTTCCACTCTGTTCTCATCTGCTCACTAAGCTCACGGTCAGGTCAGGGAGTTAGCACAGCCACAAACTTCTGGTCTTTACACTTCTCAAAAGGTGACGTCTTGGTTATTCATTTGAGGTCCGTTATCTTCATTTTCACATGTATTTATTAACTTCTTTCATTCCACGAAAGTAGAATGAATTCAAATTTGCCTGTGAAGCTATATGAAGTTAGTATTGTACACATTAGCTTCAAAAGTGATTCCTCTTTCTCCTACTGTTAGGCTCCATCCTTTACAGAACTAAAATATGTCTTCTTTTCCTGGTTACTGTCTTCCACTGAAAGCTGTAGGTTACAATTTCTTATTTTGATTTGTAAGGTTTCCAGGATAACAGCACAAAACATTGCTTAAATTCACAATGTCGAAGAGAAAATTGAGAATTCTTTCTCCTCCTTTCTGCCAACTAAAAATATTCACATTCAAGTCCTTGCCCCTCAGTCGACAGCCAAACCCCATTCACTGTGGAAGTGAGAAGCTGCCAGACATTTTCTTCTTTTACTTACATCAATAAATAAAGACCTGTATTAATGTGAACATTGGTTTATTTCACGCATAATTGAAATAATTTGGGGCTTGAATCTTCAATGTTTAAAGGAAATAAAAATTCACTGACTGAAACATAACCTACTATTATCATGCTTGACACTGAGCAAGATTATTTTCAGCCAGGTATAATTGGATATTGGAATTTCAGGTCATGGTTTCTGCCATTCTGGAGTTTACAGATCTGGCTTAGTTCCCAAAACCTTAACTATTGTCAGTAAGAAAACAAACAATGGTACAATAATAGCCTCACACCTTTAGGAAAGCAGAGATTGTGTCCTTTTTTGTATGCATGTCTTCTTTGACAGGACAGAAAGAACTGGCTGATGAAGCTAAGATACACAGTATGGGATTTCAAAGTAGACTTCTGCATTTATAGACTTAGGTGTGGATCATTGGTCAAGTGCATGAGTGGATCAAAGACAGCACTGTGTTCCATCTTCAGTTCCTCCATAACCATGTCATTTTCAGCAACAGCTTTGAGCTTGGCTTCCTTAAAAGTAAAATGAGATTGGGCTGGAGATTTAGCTCAGCAGTGCCGCTGCCTGCCTCACAAGGGCAAGGTCCTGAGTTCAATTCCCGTTACAAAAAAAAAAAGAAAAGTAAAGTGAGATTAATGACTATATTTACAGATATGTTTTTATGAGTCAGGTGCATTCAAATACTAGTAAAAAGACTAGCTTAAAGTAGGCATTCAAGAAATGTCGTCCTTCACCCTTTTTGCATATTATCGCTGTGCTCTGGAAACAGTTCTGCCAGGGTGCTCTTTCGCATGGCTGTTGCTCTGTTTTCTGGCTCTGCTGGAGAAGCTGGGTGTGGAAGGTTTTCTACCTTCTGCTTGCAGGACATTATACTGTCAACTGTACTCTGGACACTTAAGAGAAAACTGAGCTGAATATTTAAGTACTCCCAAGTCAATGCATGATTTAGGAAATTATGTATATTAGAATGTTATGCTGCAATAGGATACATCAGGTCCCAGTGAAGCTGTGGTTCCTTGTTCAGACTGTATTAAGTTTCTCTGCTTAAATTTTATTACAGTGTAGATCATCGATATCAAGTGAATCTAGCCAAGAATGAAAGCATTGCTAATAAGAGAAAAACATTTTAATGTATCAAGAAACCACTCTATCAAGTTTTACACAAAACACACCACTTATTTCAGAGACATTTTCTGGAAAGTTGCTAGTGGAGTTTTGTATTAATTTCTATTTGCCAAATGCTCAGCAATCACCTGCATTTCCCATCTCCAAAGACTTCTGGTAATGAATCAAACCAAATCACCAACCAGAGAAGTGATTTCAGTGAAGCAAAAAGCACCACTTTGGCATGTTACAATTGAAAACAGCAGGCATCGAGGCCCAGCACCTCCCACACAGGCCCTTCCGCAGTCCAAACAGCCACATGGTGGTCTCGAGCTGCTTCCTGCTTCCTCTGCCTCTCACAGGGCTATGCCCTTGCACCCTCTGCCCTTTCCAAACTTGACTGTCCCATTAGAGCCTTACTGAAATGCTTTGCCTTCCAGAGCTTAACAGCCCTCTCATCTTCCATCTTGGATTCTCTGTCATATTCATGCTCTGTATCTTCTTAAACAACATCACCAGCTGTGCCTAGTCTTGTCTCACAAAGGACCAATATATAAACTGGTCCATTTTTTAAAAATTCACACTGACAAATATGACTATGAAGAGAACATAATTTCACATGTTGAAAATGAGTGCGTTTATTCCTATACATTAATTTATGAGGAAGCTTCAGTAAAATTAGAAGGATGTTTGATGGATATGGAAAGAGAGTGGATAAAGTTAGTAAATGACATTCCTACTCAAGCTGTGATTACCTGATGCCCTCTTCACTAAAGACCATGCTGCTAAACAGGCTAGATGTTTGACTGGGCCACCAGGACCCTGTGCTTTGTAACCACTCTGAAGATACACAAAGCTTCTATAGTATTTTTTCTTTCCTTGTGTCTTACTTTTTTGTTGCTGGCACAAAATACCCAACACCCACAAGTTAAAGGAGGAAAAGCTTATTTCAGCTCACAGTTTATAGGTTTCAGTCCGTAGTGGACAGGCTCCAAGTCAGGGTGCTGGGTAGAAGGGCCTGGCCGAGGAGACACTGTCCAGGGCAGGGCCGGCAGGAAGCAGCAGCCTTCCTGCTTTCTCTCCCTCTTTATTCCATCCAGGCTACAAGCCTATTGTTTGGTGCCACTCCCACCCAGGATGGGTCTTCATACTTCAGTCAATCCATTTAGCCACACCCAGAACTATGCTAAGCCAATCAATGGACTAATCCGTTATCGCACAGCCAGGATCCAGCCACCTCCCCAAATCCCCACCTATGAGTGCAGGAAGCTTTGGAAGAACATCTAGATCCCAGTCATAACATCTCACACAGCTCCTTCTACATGCCTGGTGCATCCCATGGACACACATAGGGTATACTCCTTAGCTAGAGTCCATATTTTCTTCACTTAGACACAGGATGATTGACTAGACTTGGTCGGTTTTATTCCTAGTCACTTCAACACAGTAAGGTATTACTGTGTCACCTTAGCTATCCACTTATAGACAACCACATTATTGATGGCTATGCCATGTTATTTTTCCACAGTTCATCCCGAGAAGATGTTTCGATACAGCTACCTCACATCCTGGTACTGTTGCTATGACAACAAGCTGTGCAGAAGGATAATGTGACAGTATCGCAACTCCAGTTTCCAGTTCTCTTGGTTTCTACACCAGGGAATTTTTGCTGCAGTGCCTGCAGGATCCTGCCTAGCTGTTTTGATTCCCACACAATCTTGGAAGTGTGAGGGAGGTAGCACAATAGAGAACAAGAGGCTCCACTCACTCTCTGAGCAGACAATTTTTGAGATACGTTCTTCATAGTGTCTCAAGCTGTCCAAATATAATAAAAATCATATTGGCTGACATACACATTCCTCAAAAAATGAATTTTTTTCTCAGTTGAAAAGTGTGCGATTTAGTGGGTACATAGGAAAAGGAGAATAAAAAAGAATCAAGATGATGCTTTATGTAACCTATTCCTAAGATGAAAGTAACTTTTATGTAGAGCAAACATGTACTCATAAAAAATAGAAATTAAAAACATTTAAAAGAAAAGTGTAAGATTTAAGAATATTTTTGTTATGTTTATTTTCACATTGGCAAGTGTAGATATCATCATGATTTTCAGAAGTATTTCATCAGAACCCAAATTGCTATGCATATTTTCCTGAATAGTGAAACCAATCTAAAATATTTGAACAATTTAAAAATAAACACAATATGAGAAAAAAATCACTGAGAAAAACAAGTAGATCCAATGTTAAACTGTCCATACAATTTTGTTCTGCTCAATGTTTTAAAATAAAAAACTGGAAACCAGGAGAGTATCCCCTATAAACTAAATATTTTTCTCCTTTAATTTACAGAAACATGGCATGGAAACTAGTCAAAAATAAAATTACTGCTCTACAAATAGAAAATACATAAGAACCCTAGTTCATGACATGATCTTTGAATTTGGCTCAAGATGATATCCAATGTAATACCTTCCCTTAAATACCAATAGAAAATCAGGGGTCAGCCAAACACCTTGGCTATGTTAAGAACTTATATTTTAAATGCAGTCTGAAAGCCTTCATTTTCATTTTCTAATATTAATTTAGAAAAGATGGAAAATACCAGTAGTTAGTCACTAAAGAAATATTAACTCCTCAGATTGGGCTAATTAGGAATAAATAGTCCTATATGTGTGCCCTGTGAACTTAACTCCTGTAATACCTGTCTTTATTGATTTGTGCTGAAATTGCCAGGGTATTAGTTTAATATTTTATAGGGGTTTTGGAAGACTGATCTTGAAATCTTCAAGGTATGGGGATCTCATTTCTGACAAAAATTCTCTGTAATCTTTTCCTTGGATGAAGGTTCTGATTGGTTATAGCTATGGCTTTTCTTCACATACACACTGTTTGAACAATTTCAACTTTTGGTTCACTTTGTGCTCTTTCGTTCAGGATAATAAAAACTATACTTCATACTTTGTCACTCATTGTCTCTGTCCTAGACATAATAGGTCTGATTCTCCAAACTTATTTACCTGGTCACCATAGTTATTTTTAAACAGGAAGAGTTTTAATTTGAATATTGTACTCCAGTGTGCTTAATGTGTACAATAGTTCCATTGATCTTATTTTTGTTCTCTGTATTATTATGTTTATATTTTTATTTCTTTGGTATTGTGGCTTACATATTCATAGGACATTCTGATATTGACTATTGACAAACATCTGCTCAAATAATAACCCTTATCATACTAATGGTAAATTATTTTAGGGGAATAATAACTTTATATTCAGACTTAGGATCTGACTCCCTTTCTCCAAAATGATGATGTGTAATTTTATTCTCACTTGATCATAAGAAACAGTAAACTTTATTTCTTATTTTCCATAGCAACATTCATGGACACATGAGATTATGAAGACACTGACGACATTATTTGAAAATTTGCTACAACCTGAAATTCTATAAAGTGGGCAGTTGATTTTATAATTACCATAATCAGATTCTCAAAGTTGTACAAAAATAAAATAATCAGAGTAACTACCAATTACTGAGAACTTCTTTGTTGAGCATCTATGACCAAAAAATAATAATAAGTTGACCTCCTCAGTCATTCCCTCTCTATGGGGCATTTCCATTGCCATACTACAAGCCCCTTCATAAAACAGCTTTTCTGTACCTATTCCATCAAGCTACTTTCTTTTCCTCCCCTCCCTTTTACAGCAAAACACAGTTACAGCGCCAGCCAGGTGGCAGTGGCTTGCAGGGCTGAGGAAAGTCTCTTCCAACGGCTGTGTATGCTTTGGATCAGTGTCCACAATAGTGGTACTGTGTTTCCCATAGCCAGGATGCACAGGTCCAGGAATCAAGGGGTGGAAGTGGGAATGTTACCACTCACCATCACCCCAGCGATCCATTAACAAAATGTTTGCTTCCTGTTTCCATGACCGCATGCTCTGCTGGCTTAGAAGACTTAGTGCCAGAGGGAGGAAGGTTTGTTCAGCACAACAATGATATGGAGATCTAGAAGCTAAGACACCGCCCTGGTCTCCTCATTTCTCTGAGAAAACAAGCTGAAAGGGGAGTCACAGTGTTGGCAGGGCTGACTGACCAGACTATCAAGGGGAAATTTTCCTCCACAGTGGAGGAAAGTGAGAATATACTTGGAGTCAGGAGATCCTTAGGGTACCTTCCACTCTTACCATGCCCTATTATTGAAGTCAGTGGGAAACTACAAGAATCCAGGCAGGATGACAAACGGTCCAGAATCTTCAGGAAAGAAGCTATGGGTCACCCCATCATGGAAAGAACCAAGACCTGCTGAGGTGCTTGCTGAGGGCCAAGGGAATACAGAATGGGTAGTAGAAGGTAGCACTAAATACCAGCTATGACCCCATGATCAGCTACAGAAACAAGGATTATAGTTGTAATAGTTCTCTCCTAATGTTTCCTATGTAATATGTTAATTGACTTAATATTGTTTCTTAAGTATTGTTAAACCTATATTATAATAATCTTCAAGTTATGAAACACATTACCCAGAGAAAACTTGCCTTCTACTCTGGGAGAGAATGTGTGTTTCCGTTTGTACACAGCATAGTTGTAACATGTTAGGTGTAATTATGAACTTGCCTTTGTATCTGGAGACTATGGTTTAAGGAAATGTGTCTGGTTGTCAAGATGACAAGGGATAACTTATGATAGTTAACTGATTGTGTCAATTTAAGTAAGAAACCCTGGGTGTGGCTTAGGGGATTTGCTAAAGACTAGACCCACCCTGGGTATGCATGACAGTACCCAACAGGCTTGCCACCTGAATAAAAGAGAAATAAGGAAGGCTTGCTGCTGCTTCTTTCAGCGCAAACTCTTCAGCATTTCACTGCACAGCCTTTGGCATCCTGATATGGACTCACACAGGACGCCACAGTGAGCTCCAGGCCTTCGACCTCCAGCACACAGACAGTCCTCTTGCACTCTTCCGCATCTGACTCTGCGGGGCCACTCTAAACCAATCTTGTAAATTCTTATGTATTTGCATATCTTGCATTAAATCTATTTCTCTAATGAGCACTGACTCATATAGTTACCCTTCTTACTTTTTTAAATTTCCTGTTTCTATTTTAGCCCCCCTTTAACCAAGGATTTCATCTCATCTGCTAAATCCACTGAGAATACACTCTTCCAGGCCACTAATTCTCCTACATCCAGCAGTTATCCTATGTGCTCAACTTACTGTTCCTTTCCTGGAGCAGCAATTGACAATAATTGATAAAACTCTATTTCTTGAAATAATTTTTCTTTTACATTCAGAGACATCATACACTTTTGTTTTTCCTCCTCATGACCAACCATTTTCACTTTTTAAAAATTTTCTTTTCTAGCAATTCCTGTTCTCCTTGGCCTCAATGTTTTTTAGACAGGGTCTCCAGGCTGGCTTTGAACTCTGTGCATTTCTCGTGTCCAGCCTCTCAAGTACTGGGATTACAGGCATGCACCACCATGGGCATCATTTGGCTGTGAAATTCTCAAGGGCTCGAAAGACATCCTCACGGAAATAAAAGGTTTCTTTATTACTACAGCACGGAGCTCTGGGCTCTGTGCATCCAGATCTTGGCTCCCAGCAGGAGAATATTTCTACTCGGGATATAGCAGGGTCCAAATCAACTATAAACAGTGGCTCTCTCCTGGGCTTCTGTGTCCAAGGACCAGGCAGCAAGATGAAAATCATTTTGTAGTAGAGTCACCTAATCATCAGGAAGTAGGGCTTGTTGGACGTGTGTGGAACCCTGGTGAACCACTTGGGTAACCCTTGGAAAGCCTTCTCCAATGCTGACAGTAACTATACATGTCATAATTTTGGCCACAGAAGGACATGGTGAGTAGTGACTCCAAGATCTCAGAGAAGGGTCTCTGAGTCATTCCACTAGGGACCCTCACTGAGACCAGCAGAGATTCGACCGGAGGGCAAGGATATCTGGAATATAGGGTAGAGGAGGAAAACAGTATTAGTTGTGGCCCTGTAACCAGTCAGGTTAAGTTTTCCTTCCTCAGTGAAAACGCCAATGTGTTCTACTGCCCTTCCTTTCCCTAGTTTTCCTCAGGAAGAGAGGCTTATGGAGAGCTGCTTCCAGACCAGTGCAGATAGTACGTACACAAGATGTGGGTTACAGCAGACACTATGACTTATTTACCCAGTTTCTGGGAATGCTGGAGGTGGCCTTCAGCTGTCAGTTCACTATAGGGATTAGTTCAGCTAAAAACAACTGCCTGTCCAAGGTCATATCACCAGCCCAAGAGAGATGATATCCAAAGACCCATCAACATGGGAATCAAAAGCTCCAAGCCCAGCTCAAGACATTTCTCAAGTTCTGTGCTGGCTGTAGGGCTGGCCCTGGGGCAGCCGAGGCTATGCTGGGATGGCTCTGCATTCAGTTTCGACCTCTGCCCGAGCCTCTTCATTCTCCTCCCTCCACAAATGCTGATCCCGAAACTATCACAGTAACCTTTCATCCTCCCTGACACAATAAGATATTTTAATATCATTGACAGAATGTGAGTATTTAACACTTGTGTGTTCTTCCCTACCTTTCCCCTGTTCTGTTGTTCTGTTCTGTACTGGTCTTTGTGGCAGAAAGCTGGCTGTTGAAATTCTAGTTCCTTGGCTCTCCTGAAAGTTGGCTTCAAGTTAAGTCTGCTAATGGGAGGCAGTGGTGGGAGATCAGACAACAGGAGAGGAAGTAATTCAGCTACTTCTGTAACCTTCTCTGCACTTAGTGGTATCTCAGCATCTCTGCCAATTGCTGCAAGTCCTCTGTCTCTCTGGATAGGCCCGTAATAACCGAGGCACGACACTAGCTGCAGTTCCCAAATACACCAAGCTGGTTCGTGCTAAGAAGATATTCCCTCTGCCTGGAACACCCTCTCTTTCCTTGCCAGTGCAGTGAAACCAACACACCTTTCTCTTTCAAGACACGGCAAAGATTCACCACCCTCTTGAAGCTGTTCTCTACTTCCATCCCCTTCTCAAGTATGTCTTCCTGCAGAATTCCATGCTTCCCAGATACATATTCTGGAGTCCAAGGCTGCTCATATCTTGAATCTTGACCATCTTGAACACATGGTTCTAGTTCACTGCAGCAAAGAAGGAACTGTATAGAATTTCAGTTTTCAACATACAGTTCTGGAGATTTGTACATAACAATGTGAATATACTGAACATTATTGAACTGCGCACTTCAAAGTAGTTTAAAAAGCTGATCAAATTGTGTGTTTTAAGTATGTGTTGCTTATTATGTCAATTAATCCCAGAAAAGCTGTTTTAAAAATACACTGTTGACTTTAGCAAGTGTTTAGAACACAAACTCCTGAGGTAGACTTCCTGGCCTGAAGTCCCAGCTCTCCCACTGCTGGTAGGGTGAAGTGGAGCACATGATCTCTCTGCCCTCAGCTTCCCCACTGTCAACAGAGTTCACAACAGTGCCATCTGGTTGGGCTGACAGTCATAAAGCAAGCTTCATGCTTAATAAATGCAATCATTTATCAATCTCATCCTTGTCATACCTACACATACAGTAAAGCCTGGGATTGTTCTGCAAGTGTTTTGTAAGATGGGAAAACATTTCTAATAAATTTTAACTTGATAAATGAGCAATAGCTTGCAATACAAGTAGTATGCAATGCTGAACATCACATAATCACTACTGAATCAATGGTTCCTCCTTTCTCCCCGCTACCTCCCAACAGCAAGAGGTTTGGGGGAGATCTCATCTGCACAGGAGGAGGAAAAAAAGGCAGAGGAATCCCTTACTTCAAATGAGATTAGGGAGATGTGGAAAATGTGGAAAACAGTGCAAAATTTCCTAGAAAAGCACCACCCAAATAAGGCGATAATCTGTTTAAGGACAATGCAATGTCACATTTCCATGAAATCCTCAAAAAGAGACAAAAGCAAGTGTTATTAGATAGGCTCCTTGTTAAAGCTGCACAAAAAGATTCCACTGAGCCAATATACAGCAGTGATTCCATTAGTGATAGAGAAAGTCATCCTGCACAATGACCCTCTTTCCTCTTGTCACCCTCATACCAGCCAAGAAGGTTTAAAAGAAATGTACTGGTTAATTTGTTGATTTTTCTTTATATTTTGTATTATATTACAGTATTCATTTTTACATGAATTTTTTGGTTGTGGAACAAATCATCTGAGTTTCCACTATTTCTTATGAGGAAATCTGCTTTGATATACAAGTGCTTTGGATTACATGCATGTTTCCAGAATGAATTACGCTTGCCATTTGTATTCGGTAACAAATAATCTCTAAGTGCCTGTTTTTACCACAATTTTTAATTATTTTCTTCTCAGCTTATCTTTTTTTTTACATACACATGATTTTTATAGTAAAAGCAATAGGAATTTTTTTTGAGTTTTCTGTTTGTTTTTGGTACCGGGGATCGAACTCAGGACCTTGCACTTTTGAGGCAGGCGGTGGCACCAATGAGCTAAATCCCCGGCCCAATAGTAGTGTTGTTTAGTACATAAAAACTCAATCAGATAGTTGATCTAGCTTAGAAGTTTGTCTCTCCTGATGAAGCTGAGGCAATCGATCATAGTTTGAGCAAATATGGGCCATTCATTATATTTCAGGATTCCTACTGTTATTATTAGCACTGTTATTTAAAAAGAGATATACTATTTAATGTGCATGAGAAGAACAGGATTTATTAGAACAGCCTACAACTGTTTTATGAAAATCATGGCTTGTACTCTCCTTAAATTTTCAAAGTAAAATCATTCATATTGGAATCATTTTCTAAGGGGATGTGTATGGGAAACAATGACAGAATTTAGACACAAGGCTGCAGGAGTATTTCAGACTGACGGCACATCATCGCATTATCTTTGCAGCTCTAGCAAGAGTGGTGGTGATTTGTGCTGGTGCTGTTGTTTCCCTGGGACAGACTCTGCTCTGTCTCTTCTTTCCATGATGATGGCTGTGTCCAAATGCTACACACTCAAGAGGCACTGCACTCCAGTGTTAAAGACTGAACACTTCATCCCCAAAGAATGCAGCATCCAAGGAATAACAGGTCTTCTGACATTAGTAAAATCATGAAGGTGCATGATAAACCAAGGCTCAAAATGAAAGGCCATAAACCCTGGAAAGTGCTCTGGCCCTCACAGTGAATCTCTGCTTCTCTCTTTCCAACACATAACAATGCACCAGTAGAAATAATGACAAAATGCTCAACTATAGTGTTGAGACAGCTGCAAGCTGGTTAAGCAGGCTGCTCTGGATGGGAAGAATAGCTGGCCATGTAACTAAGGACCAAACGTGTGAAGTGCCTTATTGTGAAAAGGTGAAAGGAATGTTTCACACTTGGGCCACAGTCTCTTCCATTTTCCTTCCTTCTTTCTTTTCTTCATTGCCCTTCCTCTCCCTTTCCCCTCCTTCCTTCCCACAGAAGTCCTCGTTTCTACATACTCACGAAACAACCACCACAGAATCTCAAAGTGCCATTTATCCCAATCACTAGCTTTGTAAGGAAATAAAACTTTAAAATCTACAATGAATTTTATCATTATCAAAGACAAAACAGCAGCCCAGCAAGTTTGGCTATAGAGAAGAATTCCTTTTCCACTAAAAAAGTCAAAACTATTCTAACCAAAAGTATGTAAAAGATTCAAGATGATCAGTGTCCAAATTCCCTAATAAAAATGCAAAACAATCTACTTCCACACAACAGAAATATATAACTTATGGCTATTACTGTTAACTAAAACTTACTAAATAATGAATTTACTTATTTTGCTAAAAACATTATGTACTTCCTAGCACCTGTTCCCTTTTACTTCCCAATGAGTTGTGACTGACGCACCCACCATACACTTGTTGAGCGATACCTTGATGGAGTGTCGCGTCTGTCCACTCATGTAGCCACCAAGCCGCTCATCCTGGAGAACCCCTCAAAGACATGCTGTCTTCAAGTCTGGGTGCCTGAGGCTCCCTGGGACGCTCTTAAAGTGCAGGCTCAATGACGCTGGCTCAGAGGCGAGGCCTCGGAGGCTCAGTATTTAATAAGCAGGCTCACCTGCTCACTTGCTCCAGGAAACTGCTCCCGAAGAAGCCTGACCGGAGCTCCTGCTTTCGAAGCTTCATTCCCGTCCACGTTGCGTTTGACTGCAGGCTTCTCGATGCTTTCCTGATGCACAGGAAGATGTGTCATACCTGCTGTCCCTTTAAAACTGTATGCTTTTGTGTTTTTTTCATTCTTTGAGTCACAGTCTCTTAAATGAAGTTTCAACCACTCCACAGCAAAGTGAAAACAGAAAGAACATACTGAGTTATTCGTAAAGTTAAATCTATTAAACGATTGTCCTTTGTTTTGAGATTGTGTTCTACTTCACAGATATCTTTTCTAGAATAATCCCAATGAGACAGGCATGATGGCACACGGCTGTACTCCCAGGACCTGTGAGGCCAAGGCAGGAGGATCTCCTGCTTGGGCCACAGTGTGTTGAAGGCCAGCCTGGAATGCACAGCAAGGCCTTGTCATAGAAAATAAATCAATAACAGAACAAGCACAAATAATAAAATAAAACCCCAACAATAAAATAGTTGTTGTTTTTTTTTGGTACCGGGGTTCGAACTCGGGACCTTGTACTTGCGAGGCAGGCGGTGGAACCACTGAGCTAAATCCCCGACCCGACAATAAAATGGTTTTTAAAAGTGTATTTAGAAAATTAGACTTAAAAAGTCTATATTGCTCAAATTCAAAAGACCTGGCCACCTAGTCTCTGGGTCTGTTCTCAAACATTGAGCTGATCACCACCAGGTGAAGTAACTCCTGCGGCCTGTGTTGTTCACTGCAGGGCATTTTCTCTACCGCAGCACATCACAGCGGCCTACCGATTTCTATCATGGCAAAAAACAATGCTAATTTCTTTTCCCTTTGTATATGAGCAATACGTGCTCTCTTTAGAAAACTCTCAAAGAACGGGAAAAATAAAAGCAAAACCATTAAAGCATTGTTAATATACTCCTTCCTCCCCTTTCATTTTGAGATCGGGTATCACTATGGCCTTGAACTCACTAAGTACCGCGGGCTGGTCACAAACCTGCAGAACCCTCCTGCCTCAGCCTTCCCGGTGCTGAGATTACAGCCGTGTTCCACCAGGCCCAGCTGCCCCAGTTTTCTTTATGTGCAGTTTTTTAACAACTCAAGAATATACATTACCACCTGGTATTTTTGTTGGTATTACTGTTTTTAAAAATCCTTTCAAGGGGACATAAAAAGATTCAAGATGTATAATGAAAATATACCAACTCCCCACCACGAATGCTATCATCATATACTACAAACATGTAAAAAAAAGAAAAAGATCTTTTCAATGTAGTTTTGTTTGTGAATGTATTATGAATGCCTTACTGTATGACTTATTTTACTTCAATCTATTTTAAACATAGGAAGTTGTTTTCACTTTGTAAAAATGTGATAATACTATAACACTGTTGTACACATTTAAAAAGGAAATTTTTGAATATTTCCTTAAAATAGATCCACAGATGTGAAGATTTATAAGACTTGGTATACTGTGATTCAGTTACCTACTGCTGCATAAGACCTCTACAACTGGGTGAAAAATAAACACCCACCACTTAGGATTTTGGTTTGTGGTGCTGCTTGGGGCCAGTGTGCTCCTACCTTCTGTGCGGAGTGGCTGGGCCTGGAGTACCGGATGGTGTGGCTCAGGGGCCTGGCACATGGGCTGACATGGTCAGGTGGATGGGGCTGCAGTGCCTCGCCTCCACAGGCCTCTCCTTGCTCAGTGTCCAACCGGCACCTGTGTGCATGGCGTAGGATGCCACAAGAGCAAAGGTGGAGGCTGACAGGCTTCGCAGGACATGGACCTAGAAATCAAAGCAAACCACGGGCTTGTCCTCATTCAATTCCCTTTCCTTCTCATCCTGCAGGCCCCAGGACTACAGTAGTATTAGCCGTCCCTCCTGGCTTTGAGTAGTGAGTGAAAAAGAGGCTGAAAGTCCTCTGAAGTCACTTTCTCCGTGTGATCCTTCAGTGAAGGTGATAGAGGCCTGGGGTCCTGGAGACTCACACTGTCATCAGCGGTGATCACTGCACAGCTTTCTGGAGCTCCCTCCAGAGATGAGGAAATCATCAGCTTCTGAAGATATGCATCCCAAGAAACACTATTTTACCCCCCAGAAAGTAATTTTTTTTTTTAAAGAATAAAATGTGAAAACCTAAAACCCAACTTGGTGTGGATGTGTTTTCAGTCTAATTAAACTCTATTACACCTCCTGTACACACCCATCATTGTACTATCACTTCGCTGTGTGACCGGCAGTTTCTGCCCCTTCTGTCTAGCTAGAAGTTCCTTCATATATAAACTGTCCTCTAGCAATTGTTTTTACCCTCAGAATCTGGCACTCTGTGGCATAGAATAGGGGCTACAAATATGTTGACAGAATGAACTGGAAATATAACTAAAGAAGGTAGAAATGTTAAAATGCAACTGCCTTCTATTTGTATGGAGTATATAAAAAGGTAGCTAAAAATAATGTATTATTTAGAAATATCTAGGAGAGATATCAAATCAACAGCCATGAGCATTCTGATCACTGAAAATGTATCCACAATAGTAGTAATAGGCATTCATCGGAGCACCCAGGTATGGGAAGTTTGAGAACATGTGGTCCTGCAGATGTAGGCACTGGGCACATCTGTTCACATCCAGAGCACCACTGAGCATTCGTTACATGCCTTTTAATCAAGGTGCTCACTACAGTCTGGTAGTAGCAAATGAACCCTAAGTCTAAAAAGGAACAGGCCAGATATGAGGTTTGTTGTTAGTGGAGGGCAGGAGGATATACTTCACGTATGTTCTGCTAGTGCAGAACACAAAAACAGGAAAATGATGCTCCATTCAAATCTTGGAATGGAGGGGCAATCAGCAGGGTGAGGGGGATTTTTGACTGAGGAGATCCAAGAAGAAGTAATAAAGCTAGCACCTCATGAGAACAAAGCTTAGTGTGGAAGGGTGCAGGGTTCTGGATAGATACGGTCCTGAAGAACTTTAAATAACATTCCAGGAAGTTTTGACTTGTACTATACCAAAAAGGAAGTGACAGAGTGTTTTCCTTTGCCAGGGCTGCAAAACAAAGTGTCAGAGGCTGAATGGCTTAAACAACAGAAATTTATTTGCCCCCAATTCTGCAGGCTGGAGGCCCAAGGCCAAAGTGCGGTAGTGTTTCTCATAAGGCTTCTCTCCTCAGCCCATCACTATCCGTGGTCCTATACCTTCCCCGGTCTTTTTTCTGTACGTAGCTGGGGCTTGATGTCTTTTTCCCCCAGGAACGCTGATGATACTGGATGATGGCCTACCCTAATACAGTAGCCTGTTTTAACTTGACTGCCTCCTTAGGGACTGTCTCCAAACAGTCATATTCTGAGTTACTGGGGTTGGGACATCGACCTATGAATCTAGAGCATCATTTCTCCCATAACAGGGTTGTATGATTTAGACCACTGACTCAGCCTAGTTTTATGCTGCTAGAATACCATCCCACGGACTGTATTCTATAATGAACACAATTTTATTCATGAATGGGTTCTGGAGGCTGGGAAGCCAGGAGGGCCTGGTGTCTGGTGAAGGCCTCCTCGCTGGGTTGCCCATGGTAGAAGGGCAGAGAGAGGATGATAGAGCAAGAGGAGGCTGAAGTCCTCATTCTACAGCTCTCCACGACGACAGCACCAGTCCACTCGTGACCACACACCTTCCAATAGGGTCCACCTCTCAACACTGCCGCCTTTCAGGTCAGGTTTACAGCATGTGGACACTGGGGACACATTTAACCCATACAGACAGGAGACAGGAAGGTGGACAGGTGCAGGCCAGGCCCAGGGAGACTCTTCGGAAGACACTGCGGTATTCTTTGAGAGACGCTGAGTGAGTGGCTGAGGGAGATGTGAAACAGTCAACAGAAAAACAATGTGAAGAAGCTCCGGCCTGCAGGATGGACTTCAACTCCTTAGCAAGTCTGCAGAGTTTTAAAAATTCAGCCCTACCCTTTCAATGCTACTACTCTCCAGGCACTAAGAGCTTCTCAGTCTCAAATTACATCATGCTTTTTCTCCAGGTCGGGCTGCTGTGCCTGCCCTTCCCCTGGTCTCAGCCAGCTGGGCACCTTGTGGTAGAGAGGCAAATGTCACCTCTCCCACAAAGTTCTGAGTTTCTCTCGCAAGTTACTTCCTGCCTTGAACTCCCAAGAATATTACATGCATAGACATTCTCATGTGGGGTTTAATTATATTTTACATGCTTGCCACCCCCACTATACCAAACTGTAAAGTCCTGTGGGCAGGGATTGGTTTTGTTTCCCCACAGCTTGATAGGGTGATCATCAGATGGAAAGCATTTGATAAGCATCAGATAACTAAGAACAGATTTACACCTGATGCCACCTGGGTGGTGCCAGCGGGTCCTTGGTCATGCTTACTCAGTAATAACCCCCTTTAAGGAAAACACTAGGAAGAGACTAAAGCAAGAGAGTCAGATTTTCCATATATGGGGCTAAATCTCTCTCGTAAAATGAAACAAGATCTCTTCGCTAACCAGCAAGGAAGATTCCAGGGGAAAAGCCAGGCAAATCAGCAGAGTTTTCAATCTGTCACCACTTTAATCTAGCTTGTAAATCATTTGCAATTTTCATACTTTTTTCTTTTAAGAATTTAGTAAGTGGCTCTCTCATCAAATCAAAATTTTCTAGTCTGTCTTTTCAGACCTTCACAGCTTGGCTGCATTTCATCTATGCAATCCACTGTCTATACAACTATCGGACTTACCTTCCTAAACACAGGTAGGGTTATTCACCCTCAAATTCAGAGATACTTTAAGGCTCTTCATGACCTAAAACACATGTCAAATTCTTCACAGGAGTTTTCTACTACGTCACCCCGGTCAGGTTTCCTTTTGTGGCACAGCTTTATAGACTCCAACCTTGGTAACTGTGCAAGTTGTCGTTCACAGGTATGCTCCCATGTTCCCATTTTCGTTTCCCTAGTGTTGTTTCTGAACCATCTGTGGTGCTCTCTTCTACTTCTGCTGTAAGTCAGCTGTATCAACGGCAAAGGCATCCGATGAGCCAAGTGTTCTCAGTATTCTCTCTCCCTGGATGACCAATCTCTGGTGGGGACCCATCTGACTGCTCTCCCATATTCCTTCAGGTTCACATTCACTGAACTCTACCTTTCACTACAGTGTTTTACATGAATATTT